GCTATTAGGTTGGAGGCCATCGCTATTAGGTTGGAGGCCATCGCTATTAGGTTGGAGGCCATCGCTATTAGGTTGGAGGCCATCGCTATTAGGTTGGAGGCCATCCCTAGTAGGTTAAAGGCCATCGCCATTAGGTTGGAGGCCATCGCTATTAGGTTGGAGGCCATCGCTTCTTTTGGTGTGGTCCTTGGTCTTGCTGTAGTTCTTCTCACAGGCCTCGGTGGGGAAGACCTTCACGGGTGCTTCCTGCAAAACCTCTGGCGTGCGGCCTTGGGAATTCAAGGTCCCCCAACCTCGGATGAGTCAGGGCCGGCGCAAAAAAGAATCCGAAGTGGCTACCAAATGCTACCAGTGGTTGTGATGCATCAACAGCATGAAGGTCATTTTTCTGATTCATAGGTCATCATCGATTAGGATCTTCTTCAGTGAGGATTGAAGATTTGTGCAAATATGATCTGGAAGGAAGAAGCCTAAGATATGTTTCTATCCCACTATGCATCACGCACTGCTTTAGATGGACAGCTTCAACTGATCGACAATCAGGAGGAACTTTGGTCTAGTCGGTCTCGGGCCGGCTTATTCACTGCTGGTTAGGGGAGAGGGGTGTGCGAGAGGTTCCTTCTCAGAGTCTCTTGAGTTCATCTTGGTGGCCCGTGATGCTGCAGCCCGTCTCCACCTGAGAATGGCATACAACCGGGCACCTTGGATGTCAAACCTTTTGATGTGTTCATCTCCGCACGCAAGGGAGGTGAGCAGGCAGCCAGAAGATCAAACAACTGCAAGTCATGTGGCCAAGTCCTTTCAACACAAAGATGCCACCTTTAACTGCAAGGAGTTTGCTCAACACCATGAATGGGGACCGCCACGCCCAAAACGATACTAGTAGCTCCTGGCAATACTACTAGGAACAAGTGCATCGCTACTAGTAGCAAGAAGCTACTAGGCGCTCCTGGCATCGCTACTATAGGGGCAAGGACGCTATTAGGAGGTCCTGGCCGTACTACTAGGAGCAAGAAGCTACTAGTAACAAGAGCACTACTACTAGTAACAAGAAGCTACTATTGAATTTCATTTGTAGAAGCAAAGGGGCATCGCTACTAGGAGCAATGACGCTACTAGGGGCTCCTGGCCTTACTACTAGCAGCAAGAAGCTACTAGTAACAAGAGCATTACTACCAGTAACAAGAAGCTACTATTGAATTCCATTTAGGAGCAAACGGCATCGCTACTAGGAGCAAGGACGCTACTAGGGGCTCCTGGCCATACTACTAGGAGCAAGAAGCTACTAGTACAAGGGCACTACTACTAGTAACAAGAAGCTACTATTGAATTCCATTTGTAAGAGCAAAGGGCATCGCTACTAGGAGCAAGGACGCTGGGCTCCTGTCCTTACCACTAGGAGCAAGAAGCTACTAGTAACAAGGGCACTACTACATTACTACTAGTAACAAGAAGCTACTGTTGAATTCCATTTGTAGGAGCAAAGGGCATCGCTACTAGGAGCAAGGACGCTACTAGGGGCTCCTGGCCTTACCACTAGGAGCAAGAAGCTACTAGTACAAGGGCACTACTACTAGTAACAAGAAGCTATTATTGAATTCCATTTGTAGGAGCAAAGGGCATCGCTACTAGGGGCAAGGACGCTAACTAGGGGCTCCTGGCCTTACTACTAGAAGCAAGAAGCTACTAGTACAAGGGCATTACTACTAGTAAATACTAGTAATAAGAAGCTACTATTGAATTCCATTTGTAGGAGGAAAGGGCATCGCTACTAGGAGCAAGGACGCTACTAGGGGCTCCTGGCCTTACTACTAGGAGCAAGGACGCTACTAGTACAAGGGCATTACTACTAGTAAATACTAGTAATGAGAAGCTACTATTGAATTCCATTTGTAGGAGCAAAGGGCATCGCTACTAGGAGCAAGGACGCTACTAGGGGCTCCTGGCCTTACTACTAGGAGCAAGGACGCTACTAGTACAAGGGCATTACTACTAGTAAATACTAGTAACAAGAAGCTATATACTAGGAACCCATCGCTATTAGACTCTCTCTCTCTCTCTCTCGATGTCTCCTGCCTCCCCGCAGCGGTTCTCACTCGGCAGGCACGCGGTGCCGATGCAGCGATTCAAAGGAACTGCCTTGTCCAGCTTCAGCAAGGCAAAGTCGTAGTCATGTTTCACATTCCTCATCCGGAGGCATCGCTACTAGGAGCAAGGACGCTACCAGGGTCTTTGAGTGGAAAATGGGCCCAATCTATATATATATATACTCTTTTTGGGGCGTAGGTGTTCAGCAAATCATATGCAGATGTTGGCATCTTGAACACATTCGGGTTTTGAAAGGGAGGCATCAATCCAAAAAGTGTCTAAGCTGAATGAATAACATAAAACCTGATAGAATGAACACACCAATAGGAACAAGGTCTAACGCCCGAGGATCTTTTGGTACAATGGATGCACGAAAACTTTCGTCACCTGTCGCTCTACAGTGTGATCATCATGGGACATATCCTGAACGAGCAGAAGCCATCGACGTTGGGAGATCGACATCGGTTGGACAACGGCCGAGTTTGGTTGAAAACCATTGATTTGGCTGTGTATTTTAATAGGAAGACCCCCTGGGAGGTCTCCCTATTTTGATCCACACCCATTGGTCACCAATGGTCAAGGCTGCGAAGCCGGACATCTTCCCCGAGGGGTCAGTGCCTTTGGGACATTCTTCTGCCGAGAATACGAAGAACGAAGCAGAACCAAGAAGAATTCATTCTGATTCATTCTGCATCTTTTTCGCCTTCCCTCACAAAGAAAATATACGTTGAAAGAGCGTTTCTGGATTCACACACAAAACCTAGCATAGCAGCCCTCTTTCAACCGTGAGAGTGGCTTTAGACGTGCAGAGTTGCAAGTGTGCTTGCACCATGTTACTTCTGTGACACCCTAACTTAAACGAAGCTCTTCACTCACTCTGGTCACTTTGTTCTGCTGTTGAGAGAAACTCACCACCGTACACCACTGCACTGGCAAGCCATAGCAATTTCCCCAATCTGGTTCCTTGCCATCTCCAACTTTGTCCCAAGAAAATCCTGCAATCCTGAAAGGATCCTGGAAGGATGGAGTAGTAGCAAGCTACTAGTAACGGAGCGTTCGGACGCTACGAACGGGGCGCTCCGGGCATCGCTAAGAGTAACAAGAAGCAAGAAGCTACTATTTTGTGGCAAGTTAAACAAAGAAAGTTCCAGGACCTCTTTGTTCTGCTTCTCGGCTCGGCCCAACTCTGCAGAGCCCCCACTCCTCCCCTCCTGTCTCCGAACATGCGCCCCTGCTCTGATCCGAAGATTTCGCACGGCGCAGTGGCTCTTCACACTGGCCACGCAGTGTGCAGCAGTGAGCACCCAGCTCTCGCCGATGAGAGTGCCACCGCAAAATTGTCCATAGCTGTTGGAGTTGATGCTCACCTCCCCGGTGCCCGGTGGCCGGAGAGTTTTCCACGGTGCCCGGACGGTGCAAAGGAATACGATGGGGGTCCCGATGGGGGTTCGAAAGGTTTTTCTGGAAGAAGCAGCTAGTAACACCTAGTAGCCTTCTTGTTGGTAGCGAGTACAAGATGCCAAGACTGATCACCATTTACATGCGTTCAAGTCCAATTGCAGTATGGGGTTCAAGTCCAAGTAACGTCCATTCCATTCAGGCCGATGTCTTCCTGGTCTCTACTTCTTTAGGTTCTGGGGATGAGTCAAACAACGGATCAAGTCAAAGCTTTTTGAAGTTTGTTACTAGTGGTAAGGCACCTTGTTACTAGTAGCATCCATGTTACTACTAGTAAGGCACTTGTTACTAGAAGCGATGCACTTGTTACTAGTAGCTTCTTGTTGCTGGTGGTAAGGCACCTTGTTACCAGTAGCGATGCCCGTACTGGCACCTTGCTTGCGCAACCCACGAATTCCAAGCCCTGCCCCGTCGCTCGCTGCCCACCGGACCTGCCAACGCCACACGCACTCCTCGGCGTCCTTTCCGTTGACGATCCTCCGCTTAGCATGGCCCTTCACCCCACATCGCGCCCAGTCCAAGGTCTTCAGATCCGCTTGGAGTGGCGCTGGAAGCAGCGCAGCCAGCAGCGCGGGAAGAAGCAGCGCGCTTGGTGTAAGGCGACACATGGTGGTAAGCTGAGCTGCGGATGGGTTGAGCAAGACCATTCAGAAAAAGATAAGTCAAAAAACAAACCAAAGACAACAATATCAGTCCAGAAGATTCAGGAACGACACCTCTCTTTTTCGAACCGTCTCTGGGGAAGGGTCTGGCCACCAAGTGGGTGTTGATCATCATCCATCGGTTGGCTTTGGTGGGAGCAGCCTTGTGACGGACCACTCGTTTATGTACCAGCACACTCTCTAATATGTCTCAATAGTTGTATTTATACAGGCCACAGATGGCCACAGGTAACTGGAGGCACAAGCTAGGGCCTGTATCTTGTATGTCAATATCATGAAAGGAAAAGGACATTCCAGAGTTGGAGAATCCAACAAGGAAAGTGGTCAAAGTGGTCTTGCTGTTTTGTCGGCGTTAAACTCCATCTGACGCCCAAGACAGCCATCTGGAGCACGTGCCCTTCTGCGAGAATCACACATCTTGACACCAAACGAAAACAGCGACTCTGACAACTCTGACATTCCCACAAAAGAACACCAACTGCCATCCTCGACTCATTAGTCAGATCACTTTGTCATCTGAAAGAACATTCCACAAACAGAGCCAAGTGGTTACTCACCCGTTCCCTGATGATCAGCATTAAGCGAATCAGGTTGGAGGCCATTCCTATTAGGTTGGAGACCACTAAGTTCTGATGAGATCCATACCCAGCAAGACTAGGCCCTTGAACGGCACGTGTGCGACGTGTGGCCCGCAGAACCCCGCAGCGACGCGGCCCGCAAGCGAAAAGCCAGCCCTTCGCGGGATCCCGCCTTGACCCACGGGCTCTTGAATCCTGTCGTTGTCGTACATGACTACTAGGAGCAAGGACGCTACGAATGGGGCTTCTGGCCTTACTACTAGGAGCAAGGACGCTACTAGGGGCTCCTGGCCCTACTACTAGGAGCAAGGACGCTACGAATGGGGCTCCTGGCCTTACTACTAG